TTTAAAGGTGAAATTCGTTTATAAGAAATGTCATCCTGATGAAGTGTGCGTTTTAAAATCATAGAAACGGTTGCCTTAAAATTAATGATGCATTGCAAATATCAGGGAAAAAAGACCCATCCAGTATAAAGATGATTAAAATTCAGGTCAGAAGTCTGACTTAGTCAGGCTAAATTTTTTAATGAGATTTCAGAAAATTAATTGGGCGAATGCATTTTTATTCTTTTAACATGTAATTTTATGCTCCTATTTTTTTTTTAAAGGATTAGTCAATGTCTGAGCCTTATTGTGGTTCAAACATTTTAAACTCAAATTAGCGCAGATTGGGGGTATTTGTGGCCTAATTTGATCTGACTTGGAGGAGAGAGCCTGTCTCTGGGTGGGGGTGTCTACAGTGGTCTAAACTAGGCCCCTCCCCAGGTTCCCAGTTATTCCCACCTTTTCCTGAGAAGCCAGCAGCATTTCTTGGGACAGTGGGCTTGGGGATAGAGATAATTCAGGGCCCTCAGTTCCTGCCCACCAGGCTTCTCCTGCTGTCCAGGGTCCTTGTTCCCAGAGGCCCCTCCATCCGCCTCCTTTTTCAGATCCAGTGTGTCTGCCCCAGAAAGCTCAAGGCTTCTTCCCTGGGCCCACAGCAACTGGTATCAGAAAGTGAGGCAGTTAGGGTGGGATCAGCATCCCTGTTTCCTCCTTCCAGCCCCGTACCATCTCTTCTGCCTTTGGGGGGGAGCTGAGGGCCTCCATACCCTGGGGAAGAGGCGGTAGAAGTGGCCTCCCATGGCATTGCCCTTCAGGATAACCCTAGAAGGGAGGCTGAGGGCTGCCATTGTCTGGCCTGGTTTCCTGGCACAGAGCCCTGGGTAGTCCATGCAGGGGGCAATGAAGTCACAAGGCTGTGTCCCTTACCCCCCTGTAGGTGCATGGCAGCCCCCCAACTCACTGCAATCCCCAAGGTCATTGCCAGTCTCCGGTCAGCAGCCTCTTCCTGTGGTGGAGATATTCTTGATGGTGATTATAACAGCAGCTGAGAACTCCCTGGCTTGTTTGCCCTGCCAGACACAGCCCTGCGTGGTTCTTCCCCAGCCCAGGGGAAATAGATGCTGTCATTGGCCCATTTGACAGACCCAACAATACCAATCAGCAACAACAGCAGTGATAACAGTTAGCACAGAGGCTCAGACAGAGCAGGAGACAATAAGCAGTACATGACTGGTTTTCTCAAAGGCTACCAGGGTGATAGGTCATTAGTCAACAGTTAACACTATTTGGGCCACCATTATGTACGCTGTTCTAGGGAGAGCCCCACAGACCCTCATCATCAACATTATCTCCCAGAATCCTCAGAGAAATCCTAGGGCCAGTCACTATCCCTGTGTATGTACAACCAGCTCAGAGTCACTTGGCTAGAGGGGTTACAGGGTCAAGAATGGAACTTGCTGGGACTGACCCAGAAGGGGAGGAAGGCTTTGCAGGTGGTGACAGAGACATGGTCTCAAGGGCAGGAATGCACTTCATTTTTGCCTTATCACTCAAAGCCCCCAGGTACCTCAGGGCCAGGATTCTGCCCCAGGAGCCTCAGGTATCGAGGTGCCCACATCTCAGCAGAGGCCCCCCCAGGGACAGGGCCCCACACCACCCCCTTGAGGGTGGTAGAGGCCCCAGAGCCTGCTGGACTGGGCCCCTGTGCACTGTGCCTGCTAAGCTGCCCTGCCTGGGGAGCTCATTCCCCTAATTAGGTCCAAGGGGCTATGATAGGAAATGCAAATCTGGGGCATTCATATGCAGATGAGCAGCTGGAGCCTCTGCTATGACCAGAATGTCACCCATATCCAGAGGAGCTTTGGGCCTCACCGTGGAACTAGGCAGCGCAGCCTCCCTGGGGAGGTAGGGTGTCACAGCCTCTGGCCAGCCTCACTAGTCACGGGGCGATGCACCCTTGGGGATCACTTCCTCCAATCCCTGCACTGTACTTGGGGGAAACTGAAGCCCAAGGGGGATCCCTCTCTGTGACACCTGGTAGCCGACTGGCTCTAGATCTGACAGGAAGCACATGCCTCAATTTCCCAATTTGTAAACTGGGCTTAGTAAATGTAGCTTTGTGTGGCTATTAGGAAATTGACAATCATAAAGCCTAAGATGCTAGGGCAGTAACCGAAATGTAGTAGGTCCTTAATAACCGCAGCTTGTCAGATTTTTATGAGTATGTGCAATTCTTCCAAGTGCTGTGAAAGCCCCTGTTGTTTTCTGAGGGTTTGTGATACTGGCCGTATTCCTAGTGGTGACAGCAACTGGGTCAGAGTCTCACTGTGTGCTGGGCTATGCGAGGCATGTTCCATTGTGTCAATCTACAGACAGGCTCCGAGCACTTGCTGTAGGTAGGTCAAAGCCTCTGTGCAGGGAGACATGGGGGGACCGAGTCAGGAGCACCCTTATTAGTCAGGGGGTCTCAAGGGAAGAGTGGAGGATTCCCAGCCAGCAGGCCCCCAAAGGCTCAGGCGCTGTCATCCCCAGTGCCAAGGGCAAATCTTACCTCTGCCACTCCTTACTGTGGGTCTGGGGCAAGTCACTGCTAACCCTCCCAAGCCTCAAATTCCTGAAATGGGTGTAGCAGTGAGATTCACTCACAGGGTCGTTCTGAGGACTCAGCAAGATGGCACGTGGGATGCATCTGCAGGGATCCCAGTATGCAGTGAGCAAGAAGCCTGCTTTCCTTGGGCAGGCTCTCCGCAGCCTACAGGTTAATGCCATTAGTCAGGAATGTGCCTGACAGACATGGCCACATGGTAGGAAAATTCATCCTCCCCCTCTCGGGTGGGTCCCTAAGCAGGACCCACCGTGGCAGGTCATTCATTCTGCCTCAAAACTGCAAAGTCAAGCCTGGCCCAGCTCTTGCTTTGGACTTTCCTTGCTGGCTCTGGCAGGAGGGTGTTCCTTAGAGGTTCCCTGGCACAGAGCTCTGGGATGCAGCAGCTTAGTGGAAAGTGGGCAAGGCACAGGCTGTGTGGCTGCTGGGACGGGGAGGAGTGGCCCAGGGACTCTGGGCTTCTCTCACCCTACCTGTGCAGGTCTATCATAACAGTGGCAGGGGTGGAACACCCACTGTGTGTGAGAAGTGACTTACTTGCTGCCTTATGCGATCCTCAGCAAGTTTGTGAGATAAGTACACATTATAGCCCTGTTTACCAATGAGGAAACTGAGGTACAGAGCGGATTATATAACTGCTCAAGGTTACCACCCCGTGAGCAGCTGAAACAGTGCGGGGACCAAGCCTGCCTGGCCCCAGAGCAGTTCCAGGGACTCCTGGAGGGGCCCGTTGGCTTGAATCTCTGTATCCCAGGTGAGGGAACTTCCAGTGTGCAGCCCAGTTACCTGCGTCTTCTAACCTCTTGTATGATCCTGGCCCAAATCTGGAAGAGACATTTTTACTTTTTCTTTCACTTTTCTAACGAGTTTTATTGTAGCTAAGTCATGGTTCAGGGTCTCAGGGCAGGGAGCCAGGTCTCCTCTTACCACGCTGGGAAAAGACAGGTGTTGGGGTGAGGTGGGGAGGAGCCAGTTCACGTCTTCCCAGAAAATGTGCCTTCTGCCCAGGCGTCGACCCAGGCTGTCTCGCCAAGCAGTTCCTGGTCTGGTTCTGGCTGGGGAGTGGCTGTCCAAGGGGCAGTCCTGTCATTATTGATGTCTTCTGCCACGGTCCTGATCCCGTGGTAACCTAAGGTAGCTCACATTGCAGCATGGCCCTCAGCAAAGACCCATTTTCACATTGGAGGGTGTGGACACTTGTTCCTGCCTCAGTGGGGCCTACATATTTCTAGCCTCACCCCATCCCCCAGAACAGCAAACATTTCTGTGCACACCTGTATGCAAGGCATCCAATCCAGCAGCAGCCAACCCAGGCCCTCCCCTCCTGCCACCACCCCACTGGGCAGGCTTTGGTGATACCCCATTCAGGAGGAGGGAGTGGGAGCTGTGGTGGGTGGGGGCTGGGGCTCTGCCTAAACTCTCAGGGAAGGCTACTTAGAGCTGGTGACCTGGGCAGGGCTGGGCCCGTAGGCCTCAGTTTCCTCATCCAGCAAATGGAGACATAACCAGGCCCATCTCACTAGGCTACCGTCTCTTCTTCTTCTGCCCCTTCCAGGGTACAGCTTTGGTGCCCCCCCCCTTTTGCAGAGAGCTCATTTGCACATTGTGTCATAGGGCCTGTGTGTCCAGGGTACAGCCTTGGTGCCCCCCCCTCCTTTTGTGGAGAGCTCATTTGCACATGTGTCATAGGGCCTGTGTGAGGGCAGCTGGCCACTGCCTCATCTGGCCACTCCATCCCTGGCAGCTCCTATAGCTTCATCAGGTTTCAGCACTGACCCTGCAGTCATTTTGAGTCTCTAGTTTCTTCATGTTCCCATAAAGGGGACAGTTTATCCAAAGAATGAGCCCAGGCTGCAACTTTTAACCTCAGTTTTCCTATCTCTGACGTGGGACTTGCAGGGTCAGGAGATGGGACAGTATGTGTGGTGCTATGGGCTGGTGAGACCTCACCTGCAGTCTGAGCAGGGCCACCACGAGCCCAGCAACCTGGGTGCCAGGCTGGGCAACCTTAGCAAGTTGCTTTTACATCTCATTCAGATGTTATTGTACACACTGCGTGCAGGGCCCAGGCTCAGGGATGAAGGACTCAGGAATCTACAAGGCAGGAGAGGCCCTGGGCCCCACAGAGCCAGACTCACAAGCAGTTAGGTAATGAAATTGACGATGGTGCAGTGGGGAAGTAAGCAGCCAGGTTCCCCAGCAGGGGTCCCTGGGAGCACAGGGAACCTGGTTCAGAAAGCCCCTGGGGGCTCTTGGCAGGCTCTGACGGTGGATTGGCAAGCAGAGTCTCTCTTTCCTCTTAGAGGGGCACTGTTTGGGGGTTTCTATGGTTCTAGGGGTCCCCAGACAGACATAAGGTCCAGGCCCTCCATGCTAGCCTGGCTGGTAACTAATGCCATCTGTCCCTCTCTTCCAGAGGCACCCTAGCACCTTGACTTTTCGCTGCTCACTGGCAGACTTCCAGATTGAAAAGAAGATAGGCCGAGGACAATTCAGCGAGGTGTATAAAGCCACCTGCCTGCTGGATAGGAAGACAGTGGCTCTGAAGAAGGTGCAGGTAAGCCATGACCCTGGGGGGTTGAGAGCTGCGTCCTAGGAGCCAGCTTCTCCATCTGGACATTGTGGTCCTGGGCCAGTCCCTCCTCCTCCCCTCTTCTGTGGCCAACTCATGGAGAGAACCAGGTGGACTCATGTGATATGTGAACCCGAAAGGAAAAGAAAAGTGTGGATGCCTTGAGCACCTGCTATATACTGGGTTGTGCTAGGTGCACAAGGAAGCTTGACGCAGTGCTCTGGGTGAGGTTATCATCCCTTTCAGATGAGGAAACAGTGCAGAGACTTAATTACTCCAGGACTGAAGGGGAGTCAGAGGAGCTAAGGCACAGACCGTGTCCACTGGTGCCTGCGCCCCCTCCAGGATTCTGGAATCCAGGTGTTCTTCCTGTTCTCTGTGTCCTTCCTAAATGCAGGAATGGGATTGAGTGGCAAAGTTACAGGCCAGGAACATGTCCACGACTGCCACTGGGCCCATCTGAAGGCTGCTTTACTGGAGGAAATAGCTTTAAGTCCTCCAGCAAGGCTTCCCAAGCCCCTGGCTTTGCTCCTTGGCCCTTAAAAAACAAAGTTAACATCCTGGACAGCAGAGGCCCAGGAGAGAAGGGGGTTAGGGGGCAGGGGAGATGCCACATGCTACTTCAGTGTGCTGGAGAGGAAGGTGGGCTTCTCTGTCCAGAAAAGACCCAGTGTCTGCTCTTGAGCTTTCAGGAAGGGGCTCTTTCATGCTGGGGTGGGTGTTGTGGTGGGGCTACTGAATGCAAGTAAGTTAGGGGTGTTGGGGACCCCACGCAGTACCAGGGGCACTTCACCCACATCCTGATGAGTCCATGCAACAATGCAGCGGGGTCAGGATGTAGCTCCATTTACAGAGGGGAGACCTGAGACCCCAGCGTGTGTCCTGGCCAGCCGCTTCCCAGGGCATCACCTCAGCCTCCCCCTCTCTAAGCTGGGCACTAACTCCTGCCTGGGGAGTGGTGTCTGGTGAAGTTCTGGCAGGCCTGACCCCAGGAGGGTGCTCAGGAAGCATGAACAGGGGTAAGAGCTTGATCCAGTTTACTGAATTGCAGATTGTCCTCTAAGAGGGTAGGAGAGCCAGGACTTGAATATGGCCCACGTGGCTCCCCATGGGTACTCGCTGCCTGATTCTAACCACTCTTCTCTTCCTCCCCCCCCTCGAACCCCCAGATCTTTGAAATGATGGACGCTAAGGCAAGGCAGGACTGTGTCAAGGAGATTGGCCTTCTGAAGGTGAGTGCCCTCAGCCGAACATTAGCCCTCTCTTCCTCAGGGTGGCCCTAGGACCCCAGTTGGGTCACATCATGTCCATCATAGCCCAAGGGTGCCAGGGACCCATAGTCTCTGCTGAGTTCAGAAACGATGACTTTTGGGCACAGGTTGTGAACGTCTGCATGATCAGGCAGGAGTGGCCACTGCCCGTGGCTCTGTCCAGCCCTCAGTGTTCTGCCCACATATATGTGCTTACCCCACATCACACCTCTTGGTAGACAATGGCACCTGACACAGAAGTCCTCCCCAAAGAACTCCCCCATCGAGTGCACAGTGACCTGCTGACTGACTTTGCCTGGTAGGGAGCAGAGTGCAGGCGTCGGAGCAGATCACATACTGTCTGGCTCCAGCTCTGTCTCATCTTCTTTTTCTCTCTCCTCTCCTTTCCACCTTCCTTTTCAACCTTTTCCTTTCCTTTCCATTGTGCAGAGCACGCAGTGAATATTCAGCCAAGGCTCTGTGTTTCCCTTCTTCCTGGCCTCCTGCTCCCAGGGAAAGTGCCCTGCTGGATGTGTCAGCAGCAGGCCTGGGGTGCTGTGAGCAGCGTCAGGTGTGGGGCCCAGCTTTCTAGGTGCTGGAGGGCACATGCTATTAAGCTCTACCCAGGAACCCCATGAGGAGAAGGCAGGAGCATAGCCCCTGGGGAGGCCCCCATGCCTGCCCAGAAGTAGTGGGCTAGGTGGAGCTGGCTGGCTGCATGGGGGTCCTCCCAAAGGTATGGCAGTGTGTGTGTCTGTGGTTGGCCCCAGAGCCAAGGATAACAGACCTTTTTGGGTAGGCATTGGCACTGAGCTGGGGTGCCCTCTCCTAGGAAATCTCTCCCTACTCCCCCATGCTGAGGATTCTGCCTGGGATCTCTGCTGTGACAGAAAAGAAAAGGTTCTGGCTCTGGAGATATAGGAGTCTGGATAAAACCCTGATGTCTTCATTTACAAACTGCGTGGCCTTAGGCAAATAACTTAATCTTCCTGAGTCTCAGTTTGCCCATCTGCTCAATGGCAAAAATACCTGCCTCATAGTAGGCAGTCAACTTGGCATCTTCCTCTCCCATAAAACTTGCAGAGTCTGCTTGGCAATTTCCAGCAAAGTGGGGCTGCTGGTGGCAGGGACACCTGTCAAAGCCACAACTATAGGATTTCATATCAGCAGTGTATGCTGCAGGCCCTGGCCTGCTTTCTCAGGCCTGGGTGTTGCCCCCAGGGACTCCTTGGCTGGTGGAGCCTAGGAGTGGGCCATACATGGTGACCTTCCTGGATGATGCAGGCTGACCAAGGGACCAGGGAGTCCGGGGGAAACCTGCTTCCTGGGCAGGCTCTGCAGAGGCCAGGTCTCAATCCCTGAATCTGGAAGGCCAAGATGAACCTGCTTCAGTAATAGTGACAGTGGGTATTATGGGAAGTGGAGGACATAAGGCTGGAGGTATCAGCAGGCCAGATAACCACTCGGAACAAAATGGAACCCTGAAGCGGCTGGGGTGAGTTTTGAGCACCTGCTGTGGTGGCCTTTGGCCACAGTGGGTAATGGAGGCATGGCTGGAGGCAGGAGGTGTCCTTAGTAATATTCTGACCTGTAATAGTGTCTAACTATTACAGGTCAGAAAGTACCCTTCAATAACATGTTTATATGGTCAACTTTGGGATGCAGTTGTGATCTTGAGGACTGTGACTGATGATCTGGCCCTGGGGAGTGGGTGTCCTAATGTCCTGAGTGATTGCCCTCTCCCTGCCTCACAGGCCATCTCCTTGAATGTAGGAGTTCTACATGTGTGTTCCAAGTGCAGCCTGCTCTGGGTAACTGGTCACAGAAATATGCCACCATAGCCCCTGCCTCGAAGTGGCCTGAGCCTGGCTGGGGAGAGGATTCTGTCCCTTCCTGGAGCAGCAGCATGGCTGAGTGCCATCAAGTGTGGGTGTCAGAGGTGCTGCACCCCTTGCTGACCAGCTGTGTGGCCGTTGGTCAGCTTTTGACCTCTCAGGACCTCAGTTTTCTCATCCATGCAAGGGGTGTAATGATGACAGTGCTTTTCAGGGTGTTGGCGTGGAGATGTGTCTGGGGAGTGTCGGGCGGTGTCTCGTGTGGTGTGCACTCAGCCCAAGGCAGCCCTTGTTGTCATAGACATCTTCTGCCCGCCCACGCCAGCCCCTTTCCAGAACGCCAGTCCAGCTCCCTTGGTATCCCACGGGAAGTCAACAGGATATGCCAGGGCATGAGGTGCTTCCTACAAAACAAAAGGAAACATGGTTCTCACAGGGGCGCCTGGCACATCATCCATATCATTCGTCCTGAAATCCCAAACCCTAAACTTCCAAGCGTACAATGTGGTGGGGTCAGCAGCTGCCGAGTGTGGGACAGGAAGGTGAGCCTTATTGGAACACAGGCGTGTGTTCATGCATTTGGCACAATTTCTGAGCACCACTGAATGTGAGATTTGGGTGCGCAGACCTGGGCGGGGAAACTCATGGACAGATTCCTTCATGTCTGGAAGGGGCTTGGAACTTGAGAGAGCAAAGTCCCTGAGGGCAGAGATTTCATGGTAGGCCCTTTACTCTCTGCCCCCCCTCCCTTCTGGCCATCAGTCCACCCCTTAGCAGCCTCTACCACAGCCAGGCAAAGCGTAACCATGTCGCATCTGGGTAGCACTTTCTGCGTCCCATGGCCCAAGTATCTTTTCTGGACCCACCTGGGCTCTCCACAGGCCACAGGCTGGGAAGTGAACTCCATATGGACAGGGGTCTGGGTCACTGGACCAGGTTCTAGGCTCAGCTTGGCCCCAGCTGCCTGTGGGCCTGTGGCCAACGCCTTCCCCTCTGTGGGCTCAGGATTTAGCCAAGGTAACACCCGGGGCTCCTTGTTGCCTGTGCCTTGTCTGCCTGGGTGTGTGTGTGGTGGTGGGGTGTTCCCCAGTCTCCTGGCCTCAGAATCACCCTAGGAATCGGGAGAGGAGCCCCCCCCCCCACCTGGAGCAGCACCTCCTCACCTGAAGCTTTAATTCCCACCCGAGTCCCCTCTCATTTTTCCAAGTTTTTGGAGAAACTGTGATGTCCAGACTGCTGATGACCTGGCCAGATTTCAGGGATCCCTCCTGAGAGGGCTGAGATTTCCCAGTGATGGAATGAGGTGAAATCCAAGTGGAAGGTGAAGGAACAAGGTTACTTACCACAGTAGCAGCCTGTCTGGAGATTTTAAAGCACTTTGCTTGCTTTGATAGTTCTTTTATTACTGAAAAACCCATCCATGGCATGTGGTGTGTGCTGAGGGCAGCTGATGTTAGGTTTAGCTCCAGGATGAGCTCCCAAAACTGAAATCCAGGCAAGGAGGGGTTTCAATAAAGGCACTGAAATAATTAAATGGACAAAGGAAAGACCTTCAACCCAGGGCTCTGGAAAGCTAGAGATCCCAGTGGAAAAAGTGATCCTCATTGATCCCTGCCTCATGCTGTATACACACAAAAACTAACTTGAAGTGCATAAAAGCTAAAACTGTAGTGTAAAGTTTGTAGGAAAAAAACTGAAAGAAATCTTCATAACCTGAGAAGAAGCAAAGTTGTCCTAGGCAGAACACAAAGAGCATTAACCGTAAAAGAACAAAGGGCTTATTTAGATTTTATCAAAAGGAATAACTTATGCTTATCAGAGACCTCATATGAGAATGAAAAAGGAAGTCACAGATGAGGAAAAATACTAGAAAACCTTGTCCAACAAAGGATTTATAATAGATACACAGTGGGCAGGGAAGGAAGAATTAAGACCTGGTTCTAGGCTCAGTTCAGCCCAAATACATAGAAGGTGCAAAAAAAAAGATGTATAAAATTGTAATACTTAAGTCGCATTTGACTTCTGCAATTACAAGAGATAGAAAATACAAGATAACAAATTTTGGTATTATATATTGGATATTACAGTTTTAATACAGTTTTTGCCTTTCTTAAAATGTATATATATTTCTGATACTCTCTGTATATTTATGTATATATGTAGAATATTTACCTGTAAATCTCCTTATAAATCAATAATAAAAAGATAAATAACCCAATAAAATCTGTATCTGGTCTGACCCCTTCAGAGCTCTCAGGGTTACCCACTGCTCTGAGGAGAGACCAGAGGCCTCCAGTGCCCTGTAAAACTGGTCTGCCCGGCTGGTACCCCAGCCCAGCACTGGGCTTGCTCCTGTTCCTACTGTCCGACTGGCCACAAGGCATGCACCGGGTCCCCCTCCCCACAGGGCCTCTGCCCAAGCTGTGCCCTCCCACCCTCTGCCTCAGCAATGCCCATTCCTCCTTTGGACCTCATCCAATGTCACCTTCTCTAGGAAGTCCCCTATGCCATTCCCTCCCTCCACCGTCTGGGCAGATTCCCTCTCCATGGGCCCGCTGAGTCCTCTGTGACCATTTCGCAGCACTGTCTCCTCTGATTGGAAATGCCTTCTCCGAGTAGCTGGCCTGCCTGGCGGGAGTTGGGTTGTGAGAGAATCGGCAGCTCCTCCCTTGGCACACCCTGCCACCAGCTTTACACCTGACATTTTTCCTCTCAGGACAGGGTAGCTCTTTGTGCTTGCTGCTCTAGCCCGGGCATTCCCGGTTTCTAAGGACATTCATGAAATTCAGGAGCTCACGCTGGAGCCCTGCCCAGGCCCAAGTGGGTTAGCATCTGTTATCTTCCCTTTCCTGAGTGGAGAGTGAGCCCCCAAAGGCAGCCTGGCTCAGCATGGCTGCTGCACAAGGTGCGAGGTGGAGGGAGGTGGGCCCTGCCCTCAGGTGGCCCATGGCACCATTTACAGCACTGTGACACATGACGGGGCAGGCCTGGGGGACCGGGGAGAGAAGTGGGAGGGACACAAGGGTGCACACATGCTGGCCTTGACAGAGGAAAGGGAGAGGAGCCCAACCTGACAGAGAAGTGGTGCGGGCTACAGAGACACTGATGGAAGGGGTCCCAGGTGAGGGTGCAGGCTGAGCAGCTCGTGTGTGCTACTGCTTGAAGTCACCTACTTGTTACTGACCTGGTGTTTCCACATGGGACCCACCTGCCAAGATAAGCAAAAGAGCTCCCTTCCTGCCACTCCTGGGAGCCATGGCCGAATATGCTGCGCCTGGATCCTGACCTCAGGGGGCCTCAGTCCCTTGGTGTGTCTGGGCAACCCACCCTATATGCTGAGGGGGCCTGAGGAGCGGACAGGGAGTGGACACCTGGGTGGTGAGGGGTCAGTCTCTGCAGGGACCTGGTGGGGGACTGACACGTGGGGAGGAGCTGGGGCTGTTGGCTGGGGCCTGACTGAGGGGGAAGCCCACTCACTGCAGACAGGCTTGGGGAGTGAAAGAATGGGGGGTGGTGTGACCTGGTTCCGCCCAGGTCCTGCCTCATTCTAGAATCCGAGATATGCTCAGGTTAGCATGCAACGTAGATGCATGTCCTTCTCCCAGCAGCTTCCGGGCCTCTGAGAAAGCATGCTCAAAACTGGCCTCTGGATATTTGAGTCTATTCTGCTGTTCCTAGGTCCTAGAATTACTGTGGTGTAAACAGTTTAATTAAAAAGAGTTGTGCAGGGTTCTTGCAGGGCCTGACTTCTGCCCATGGGGCACCATCCTGCTCCACACTCTGTTATCAGCAAACACATTGGCGGTGTGCGGACGCCGCAGGCAGGGTCTTAGTGCCGAGCAAATTAGCCAGGCGGCTGTCTCACCACAAGTGTGTTTTCAAAATTTCACAAGGGATGCGCCAAAAATTGAGAAAGTAGGAAGGAGGAAGGGAGTGTGGCCCAATTGTGCCCTTGAGAGTTGTAGGTGGCGAGGAGGAAGAGGGTCATTTCTTTTTTTCTTTTTTTGCAGTTTTTGGCTGGGGCTGGGTTTGAACCCACCACCTCCAGCCTATGGGGCCAGCGCCCTACTCCTATAAGCCACAGGCGCCGCCCAAAGAGGGTCATTTCTACAAGTGTCTGTTGAGTCTTATGTAGCCCTATGCAGGTGCCATGTGATACCATCTCATCTTCACTTCTATGCTTTAAAATACTATGCCCATTTTACAGATGAGGAAACTGAGACTCAGCCCACCATCACCAAACATAGGCATTTCCCCTGGCGGGTACCTCTCCAGCAAATGCCAGGGCTATTGTCACAGTGCTGGCGTGGGACAGGCGCTGGGGCCTCACTGTCTCTCACCAGTGTCTTCCCTCCCTCTCTGTCATCATGCAGCAACTGAACCATCCAAACATCATCAAGTATCTAGACTCGTTTATCGAAGACAATGAGCTGAACATTGTGCTGGAACTGGCCGACGCTGGTGACCTTTCCCAAATGATCAAGGTGAGGCCCAGCAGGAGTGTGGGCGAGTGTCTGGGGTTGCCCCGACACAGGGCCCAGTGCTGCAGCCTCTCTTCAGCCTGAGTTCCTTGCTGCTCAGCCCCTTTGCCTGCATCCCCAGACCTCAGCTGTGGTCTGGTGAGGGCTCTGTCAGGCTCTGCCCCCTGCTGCCTTTGCTGAGGTTCTTCCTTTCTTCCCGTCAGCCCCCAGGAAGCTCAGCTCATGTGAGAGCCCTGTGGGCAGAAAGCAAGGCCAAGCAATGCTCAGAGAGGCTGGTGGCTGGGAGAGGGCCACTGCCTAGTCTGTCCACAGGCTCAGGAGCCTCTTCTCCCTTGTTGGGTCAGACCCCAGTGTCTTGTAGGTCCCACTAACTCATTTCACAGAAGGGGGAAAACAGCCCAGAGAAGTTAAGAGACTTGCCTGAGGATATCCAGCATTATGGGGACTGAGCTGTGCCTGTGGCCCAGGTCTCTGTGTTCCTGGCCTAGGACCCTTCAGTGGACATCGTCCCCAAAATGATCTCCCCAGCTCTAGAAGGGGATCACCATTTTCATGTAGTAGACCAGGTGTCCTCAGATTATGGCCCACGGGCCACATGCGGCCCTCCTAGGACATTTATCCGGCCCACCGGGTGTTTTTGCTGCCCCTGCCTGTCATTGCTTAGCAGCTGACTCATCCCAGTACCCACAGTCCAGCTCTCCAACAGTCTGAGGGACAGTGAACTGGCCCCCTATTTAAAAAGTTTGAGGATCCCTATAGTAGACAATGCCTGGGGTCTTCAAGAAGTTGAACAACTGGCCAACTCACATGGGCAGGCTCAGTGCCAAGTCTGTCTCATGCATAGCACCCTCGTACCCACACACACACCTGCACCCACATTGTCATGCTTCCCAAGGTCTCCAGATCCTCTAGGAGTCTGGCACCATCAGCCACTGCAGTGCCCCTGAGAGTACCTGCTGTCAGCTCCCACTGGACCAAGCACACTTGTGTTTTGCTATCCCCAGAGAGCAAGCTCAGAGAGGTATAGTCTCCTGCTCAAGGTGCACAGCCTCTAAGTGAAAAAGCCAGGTCTGCCTGAGCCCCAGGCCCAGGCCTCATCCCCTCCCCTGTACCTCCCTCAAGACCCTGGCTTCCAGCCTGGTGTGATGGCTCATACCTGTAATCCTAGCACTCTGGGAGGCCATGGCAGGTGGATTACTCTGAGCTTACAAGTTCAGGACCAGCCTAAGCAAGAGCAAGACCCTGTCTCTAAAAATAGCTAGGTGTTGTGGCAGACGACCATAGTCCCAGGTACTCTGGAGACTGAGGCAAGAGAATTGCTTAAGCCCAAGAGTTTGAGGTTACTGTGAGCTATGATACCACAACACTCTACCAAGGGCAACAAAATGAGACTATCTCTCAAAAATAAAGAAGACCCTGGCTTTCCTGTTGGGATCCAAGTTTTTAGGTCACTGTCATGAGGCCCCCCTTTGCTCCCTCCCCTGGGCCCCATCAGCTAGCTCCTGAGTGAGGCTGGGCCCTGCATAGCCCCCACCCTACTCCCAGCTACAGTTGGAAGCAAGCCCAGGCATGGACTCTCCATCTTTCCCACCAGGCACTGGGGACTGAGCAATTGTTCAGTGCTTGCTCTTCTGAAATTTGGCTCCTAGGAATACAGGTGTTGCTGGGAAGTGGCATTACTTGAGCTGTTATCACCTGCTTTTATATTTTTGTTGACATATTAATGTATTTGCAGGGATGTTAATCTCCACATGGATCCCAGGTGGGAACAGATGTGCTATATCATGTCTTGGTTCTCCCCCCGCCTGGCCACTGGACTTGTTCTTCTCATTCCCGTGTTTTCCTCTCACTGAACATGCATGCACCACACACCCACTGTGTGCCAGTCCTGGGGTGCTGCTGGCATGGGTGCTGCCTTGAGGAATCCCCAATTCTAATAGGAAGGCAGACCTGTGAGTGAGTAGTTATGAGCTAACATGAATAGCCAAGTTCAGGGCCTGAGGGAGTCAGGGGAGGCTTCCTGGAGGAGGTGACACGTGAGCCAAGACTTGAGGAGAGATAGGCAGTCCAGAAGCAGGAGCAGCTTGTACAGGGGCTCAGGGGGCTGGAAGGCACTGTGGTGCCTTGGGACACGCCACAGGTGGGGCAGAGTAGGACCATCGGACCACATAGGCTTCCTGCTCCAGGCTCAGAATTGAGGCCACACCCCAAAGCCAGAGAAGCTTCCTTAGACTCCTGGCAGAGAGCAAAACTGGTCAGCTCTGTGTTCTAGAAGACTAGATGCTGAGTGGAGATGAGGGCAGGGACAGGCAGGTGACAGATGAGAGGCCCTACCTTGTCATTCTCCAAAACAGTCCCAATGGACCCCAGACATCCTTGTCACCTCTCTGTCCATGGAGTGGGTCTGGGGTCCAGACAGGTGGGTGGAGGGGGGTAAAACTGTCTCTCCCTTGAGCCTTAGTTTCTGCCCTGTCCCGGGGCATATATCAAAGAGGAACCGAGGCACGTGCATGTTCCTTCAGGCTGAAAGAGGGGGGAGGCGTGTGCTGGTCCAGTTAGTATCATACCTCTGCCTGGGCCTGGCCTGGGATGCAGTGTCCCCTCCCCAGTTGGCCTCCCCTGCTCCCTTTCTTGACCTCTCTAGGGACGGTGCTGGCTTGGGGCTCAGATTAATCTGTGACCCAGCAGAGCTGAGTCTAGACCAGCTTCCCAGAGCCTCTGGCCCCTCCTCACCTGGAGCGCTGCCTCCCCTTCCCTGTAGCCCCCTCCCAACACCCCTTCTCACTGCCAGTGGCTCCTGTTCCCTCCTACCCAGCTCAGCTAGAGGTCCTTACCTTTGGAACCTGGCTGGGTATGGCCTCTGGTGGGAAAGGCAAAGCCATTGGGAGACCCAGCCCCAAGTCAGACGTGCCCACTGGCTGGCCTGGGGCAGGTTCCTGTGCCTCAGTTTCCTAATCTGTGACTTAGCCAGCATAGCACCTTCCCACTCCCAGGCTGCCTCTGGGTCTCCAGCACAACACGGGGCTTGCCAGGGCCCTAGCCTGGGGCCACCCATGGTCACCCCACTGGCCTCAGAGGCCACCAGCCATTTAGGCCTATGTCCCAAAGACCTGAAGCCACAGGGCCAAGCACTGCCACCATGATGCCTTCGTTATTTATGAGGAATAGTAAATCCAGGAGCTGCCACTTCTCTGGAACCCACCAGAGACCCTACGCCTTCCTGCTAAATGTCAGACAGCGCTTATAGGACGTGACATTTAGAAAATCACCACTCTCGGCCCGCACATCCCAGCTTAAATGCAGTAATGAGGAATAACTAACATCACAGCGTAAATAACATCCCAGCCTGGCCTACCACAGAGGGGGTAGGGTCTGTGCTGAGAGCCAGATAGTCCCCCTGTGGGGTCCTTCTCTCAGAGGCACCCCAGAAGAGCCTCAGGGGATTTGCTGCAAGGCCCAGGCTTCCAGCTGTGACCATCCCACCGCTCAGACCTGGATCCCACCTGGGTGTCTTGGAGCACATTCCTAAACCTCTCTGGGCTCAGTCCCTCATATCAGTGGCAACTGGCATCCTCAGAATTAGGTTTCAAGCTCAGGCCCTGGTCCAGCCATGACTCTGCCCCTGCTCTGTAGCCTCAGTCTCCTCATCTGTAAAGCAGGCCCAGTCCTGCTCAGGGCCCAAGCAATGGCCACACACAGCAGGCACTTGGCACCCTCTGGCTCAGGTCCTTTCCCAGGCTGAGTGTGTGTCCGGTCGTCCAGTTCAGTTCTGCCTTCTTTGTACCCGAACGGCTGCCCTGACAAATGGGCCTCCAGCGTTGCCTCTAGCTATTTTGGGAAAAGGTGGTTGCTCTGGGTGAAAAGCCCCTGAACTAAAATCTGGCCCTCAAGTAACCGGTGTGCAAGGTGTGCCCTGCCCCCCACGGGCCTGGCACCCAGGAGATCCCCATCTCAGATGCTCCTAGCCGCCTCCTTCTAGATTTCTGGCTCCTTACAGCTCATTCAGTGCAGCCTGAGGGCTTTTTGCTTTGTTCTTTTTTTTTTTTTTTCCTGGAAGATTAAATATGTTTTTCCAATGAAGTAGACTGATGCCTGTTGAAATGGGGGTCCACTGGAGAACAGCAAACCCACTTCCTTGAGGTTCTCACCACGTTTGTTAACAATTAAGCTCCAAGTTGGTGGTGGCAGCTCTGATTTAGCCACTAAATGTGTCCTGGTGCTACCCTCCTGTGCCAGGCCAGGGCTGGGGGCAGGGAGGGTCCACACCCAGTCTGCTTCTGCAGGAGGTTCCAGAAGCCCTGTGAGCAGTGTATTCCTGGTCTGGATTTGATGTTTATTCAGCAGCCTGACCCCCACCCCCATGCCAGGCATCAGCTGCCTGCTGGGGAAAGGATAGGGTACCATCCCACAGCCATTGCCCCAGAAGCTCACTCACCTGGACTGTCCATCTGTCTGTGCCCCCACTCAGTACTTTAAGAAGCAGAAGCGGCTCATCCCCGAGAGGACTGTGTGGAAGTACTTCGTGCAGCTGTGCAGCGCTGTGGAGCACATGCACTCACGCCGCGTCATGCACCGAGGTGGGTGCCCCCACCCCCACCCCAGGGACCCCAGGTAGGACCTCCCTTCTGACTCCTTCTGGCTCCTCAGGAGTAGCCCTGGAAGGAAGTTGGGCCACTCTGTGTTCCCCACACAGGTGGGTGTCCCTCAGCTGCACACATATGTCCTGTATCGGGGCTGCCCCTAGTGGGTGCACTGGTGCTAGATAGTTCACAAGCCACAGGAGTGGAAACCACGCTCAGTTCACTGTTTCCAGTCTCCAACACTGGCTCAGGAGGTCAGGGGAAGCCTCCCAGGGAAGGGAACCTTGATAGGGACTTTAACGTCTTAGCAGGAGTTGGCTGGGCTGACGATGTGAGATACCTACAAAGGAGTGTCCCCCAAAGTTGACAAGTTGTAGGTGGTAGGCTGCTGGGCACTCTAGGTGGGTGTTTCCCTGCTCCCTCTCCATTCACTTTCCTGTTTATTGGTGTCCACCATGTGGGAGGCAGCCCTCTAGACATCAGGCATAGCACAGGTGCCCCACTAGTGCTTCATTCATCACATAGATGTTCACTGAGTGCCTGCTGTGTGCCAAGCACTATTCTAGGTGTAGGGATACCAAAATAGAAAAGGAAACGGCAGCACAAAAGTCTCTGCTGTCCCAGACCTGACAGCAGCTCTGTGAAGCAATTTAAGTTAGACCCATTTTACAGCTGAAGAAACTGAGGCTCAGAGAGAGAGGGTAAATTTCCTGAGGTCCCACAGCCAGAGGCAAGGTGGGGTCTTGCCTAGAGCTGGGCCATTCATCACCTGGGCCTCCTCCCCAACTCCTGTCCCCCGACCCCAGCCTCCTACTCCCGCGCCAACCCCCTTCTCCTTGCCTGGCAGACATCAAGCCTGCTAACGTGTTCATCACAGCTACTGGCATTGTGAAGCTTGGTGACCTCGGCCTGGGCCGCTTCTTCAGCTCCGAGACCACTGCAGCCCACTCCTTAGGTAAGGGGAACCCTGTCTGTACCCAGACAGCCCCTGGGGGTCCTCCAGGGAGATGCAGGGGTTCTTCCCACATGCCTTTGGTCAGTTAGTGCAGGAAAATGCCTTTCTTGAGCTCCAGAGCTTACTCATCTATGCAGAAGAGTAACCTAGAATAGAGAAACTGAGGCTGAGAGGAGCCTGGTCAGGCCTTCCTGCACCTTCCCGTCACTCGCGTGCGCGGTGGGAGGCGTGTCTGCTGCTGCACACCATCTTCGGCCTTCCCATTGCTTGTAGTCCCCATCGTGGGCACATCACACTTGGTCCATCTGTCTGGGCTGTTTCTAGTTTGTGGCTTTTAAGTAGGCGGTTTTGAAGTTGTGGGAGCCAAGTGTGAATCCAGGAGGAGATGACATTAGAGCTAAACCATGAAGGTTGACTAGGAGCTATTGGGGCAGGAAGGGAGTGAACAACATCCCATGAAAGGGAATGGGAAAGTCTCAGCATGAGGTCGAGCAGGTACCTTGGTTTGGCAGAGAGGCAGGTGCTCGGAGGCTGCAGGAGTGGCAGGAAAGGTAGGAAAGGTAGGCAGGGCCTTGAAGGCTGAGCTCAGGGTCTGGATGCCATCCTGGGGCCAGGAGTGTGGAAGGGCTGGGCTCAGGAAGAGGCCTGGGCAGGTATGTTTGGGGGCACAGGAAGCAGTGGCAAGCTTCAGAGTCCACATGCCAGGTGCCTGCTTGAGTTTGAAACCTGAAATGATGGGTGACGGAGAATTTTTCATTTAATTAGGAATTACAGGAACCAAGGTCCTGCAGTGGAACATGGAAATAGGGTCTCCCGTGTATTACCCATAGGGTGGGCAGGGCCTCCAGATTTCCCAAAACCAGTTCTGGGCTCTTTGAGGTAGGTTTGCAGGGGAGGGTGCCCCTGAGGCCCTTCTGCCTGTGTCTGTAGGAGGGAGCTGGGCATGGGCATCTGGGCCCCTGATATCCAGCTGCCTCAAATGCTGCCCTGCTCCGCCTCATCTCACCCCACTCCACTGCTCAGGCCAGGAAGAACCCTGAGTGCCTGTGGCAAGCTGTGTGTGCAGCAGCATTGTCTGACGAGGGCAGAGGGGCTTTCTAGATGACACACTCTCCTGTGGAAACTGTCACTGTTCACACAGGTCTCTGTGGCTTCGACACTCATGTCACGCACAATTAGAGAAACGTACTGATCCTGGCGAGGATAGCTCTACAGGTGGGGATGAAACTCTCATTCCTCCCACCTGGGGACATCTGGCAATGCCTCAGGAACTCTTCCTTCAGCTCCAAAGAGAAGGATGTGCCAGGGCCTGTCTCCAGGAGCTTGTGATGCTCTCCAGTCCACTCACAGCCCAGAGGGGCCATAGGGTCCTTCCTTTTTGCCAACTAGGAGCTTGAGTAATTTTCAGAGGTTGCATGGCAGCAGAGCCAGGACCGAGCACAGACCTCTCCTTCCAGAGCCAGACTTTCTTCCAGAAACCTTGAGGCTGGTGCTAGAGCCTCCCTCTAAGAGCCCAGACTCTTACTTTCCAGGTCCCCTAAGATACTTCCTTGTGAAAAACCAAGCTTTTTGGCTGATTTGGGACTGTTTACTTATCTGGTTTAAGAGCTTTGAAAAGCTCCAAGAAAATTCAAGGGAAACTGTCAAAGAGAAGAGTTAAAACTGCTGCTTCCTGTCCCTTGTCCGTCAGCTCCGAGCCTTTCTCTGTCCCACTGCAGAAAAGACTGTGGCGCTCGTCAGAGCCAGTTAGGATCGCGACGTCAGGAACGAGCGGACGCAGTCTCATCCGACAATGTGATTTTATCAACTTGGACTGGTGCACTTATTATATTAATGAGAAGGAATTGGAACTTGGGAGAAAGCCACCCTCGTCAGCCAGCCTCTTCCTGAGGTCTCTAAGCAGCCAACTGGGCCGAGTTATGGGTGGAAGGATTCCTCCTGGGGCCTATCTCTGGTCTAGGCCATGTGCCCATGTCTAGGAGATGCCCACTGAGCCAAGGCCTACACGGGGGCTCTGAGTGCCCTACTTGGAGAACAAGCTCCCAGAAATGAGGGCTGCCCCTGTTCCTACCAGGGCTTCAGAACAGTGACAGGGCAGAGCCAACACCCAGGATATGAAGTCTCCCAAGACACAGGGAAAGACCTCCTCCCATGACAAGGATCTGCAAACAGCTGAGTCTCACACACACATTAGGTCAGGCAAGAGATTGAACTAATTACCATTGCATCGTGACTCAGGAAGGACACGGGGGCAGGGGCCCCTTCACACCCTGCGCGTGGGTATGAATTATGCATTTGCTGCATCTAATGTGCACCTACTACGCGGGAATGCCGAGGTGGCAGCCACGTTGCCCTGGCAACCACCTCGTCTCCTAAGGTTGCTGACCCCAGAGTTGGGCTTATGCAAATCTGATCTTCTCCTGTCTGCCCCTCCGTCGCCCCCTCCCTGCCTCTGTATTTGCTAACATGAGGCTGGCATGAAAGGGCATTAGTCAGTGCCATGGTTAGGCTGACAGGTGCGGTACCCAGCGGTGGCAGAGCGGCTGCCTCGGTGTCAGGAATAGGAGCCATAATTAGAGCACAGAACAGAATGAGCGTCAGACAAATTACCAGGCAGCAGATCATATTTGTCAGGAAGGATTGCATACATAAAAATTAAGTGACAGTACACGCCGGCATAATGAAAGAAAAATGAAAGATTTGCCTATACACAGCTCACAAGCTACAAGCAAGTGTCTCGCTCCGAGCAACGGCAGCAGCTGCAAGACAAATTGTGGGGCTGGGAGAGCAGGCCTAGCTCCTCGGCAGCGGTGACAAAACGGCTATGGGGTGATCAAGACGGGCAGGGCCCTGCACTGCCCCTGGGGACAGGGGAAGCAGGTTTATTTCAGGGCAACTCCCATCAGGCACAAGCGGTTTGGGCACATTGGGTCTCCCAGTGTTTGGCCTGACCGTGGAGCATAAGTTTTTTCCTCCTACTTTTACAGATGAGGAGACTGAGGTTCATAGATGTGAGACCATATCCCTGTGGCCACTTGGCTAGCAGGGACTGGAGCCCCTTGAAGAGTTGCCCAGGCCCAGATGCCCTTCTCTAGGCAGCCACCTGGCAGCATGGCCTGGAGTGGCTATGGGTTGTGGATGCCCAGAGGGGGTCGAGAGAGGATCCCCAGTGAGCTTTTGGGTGTGGGGACACCTATGGTTCCTCATGCCTGGTCACAAGAGGAAGAGCCTATCCAGCCTCTCCAGCAGTGAGCATTGGCCAGAGCCTGGGAGTCATGTTCTGGCCCCACAGGGAAGGACAGAGCCTCCTCTCTTGTGGGACTGTGCTACAGTATGACGTGTCTGTACCCAAGCCTGACGCTGCTGGGATGTTTACTGAGCGGATGGATGGTTCTCACAGCCAGGCATCCCTGGATGTCCATCAGTGCAGGCACAGGGCCGGGCAGATCTGTTGCCCTGCCCCTGTGCCTGGGGACATTCTGCCAACCCCTCTGACCCAGAAGACTTGCTCTTGCAGATAGATCTCAGGCCTGAGTCCAGCTGAGTGCCAGCCCCTGATCATGGGCAGCCACCCTGCTGGCCCATCTGCCATGTTCCTGGCATTTTCATGGTCACAAACTGTTAGAGATGAAGTGACACCAGAGTGAAGGGAAGGGAGTGCCTTAAGCAAGTGAGGAACCATCTGGAACTCAGGTGCAAACTGAAGCTCATTTGTTCATTCCTTCATATATTCATTAGTTCAACAAGGATTTGTCCTAGGCCCTAGGCTGCTCCCGGGAAGGCCAAGTGGCCCCTGCCCTTGTGGACCTTCTGCCTGGGAGGAGAATCCATAGTCTTTACTGTGAACCAAACACTGTTCTGCTGATCTCTCCCCATGTTCCAGAGCGGGAAACCAGGGCTCCACACAGTAGCAGGGAGGACCTGTTCTACTAACATGGAAGCTGAAGCTGGGAGTTTCAGTTCTCAGCTAGTGAGTGGTTGAAGCAGGTCATGCCCAGCGTGTCCAGTCCCAAGTCTAGATTGTCTCCACATGTCCCTTCCTGTCCCCTTGAGGATTTGGCAAAGAAGCACAGACATCTAGCCCGAAGTCCTGCTTGGTGGGTGGATGTTGACAGGGAGACCACATCTCTCAAGTGGCTTTCCACTCCCATATGGGGAAGAGGGCCAGCTCACAGACACCAGCCTCTCCTTTATGTGAAGTCTGCCTTTTTCACATCTAATGAACATGTTTCAAACACCACCAGCATTTCAAAACATAACCAAGTTTGTTTTGACAGAAGTGTTGCATCTCGAGGAAGCGGAGCGCCTTTAATAAGCCTCCCCATTTGAGGGCTTGCGTTCTCTTCTGATTTCTGCTGGGTTTGAGATAGGGGAGATCTAGGTAAAGGCTCATGGAGGTCAGGGTTTGTTAAGTACCTCTTTCCCGGCATGGTTCTGTCCCTAGTGTGGGGAGGGCAGTGGGAATGTCTCTTGCTTGGCCCTGCTTCTGTATCTGTGTTTATGTGTCCATCATACATTCATTAGTTCATATAAGGATTTGTATCTTGGGCTGGGACAGGCTATGCTACATGCATGGGTCCCCTGGGGAGGGCCCCTGTCCGTGGGGCTCCTCCTCCTCCTGCCAGCTTCTCCCACTCTTCCACAGAATCACCACTCCCCTGGGGCCTGGGGACATGTCCTCTGCCTCTGCAAGCTGGGGACTACTTTGAAGTCTCTTGTTTTATCTCTAAAACTCATACGCAAGTTTTGTGTTGTGCTCCATAATGTTTGAGTATTTGTTGTCTGCATAAAAGCCAGGTTTGATGTGACTTATTCCCAGATAAAGCTAGCATAACAGGGAGAGGCTGTGTTAACCCCTGTAGCTTCATACACCCAAGTCAAGGACACCCCTCAGTGAGATGCACAGACCAGAGGGAGCAGTCCCTCCCTAGGGCAGGACTGAGGAATTTGCCAGGAGGCAGGGACAAGAGGGCCCTGTGCTGGCACAGGATGGGCTAACC